ATGGCCTGCTGCCTGCCTGGGGACCCTGCGCTGGGAGGTGGGCGGGGCAAGCCCGCGGGGTGCCCAGGTGTGCGTCTGAGGCTGAGCCAGCTCCTGGGCAGAGCCCTGCAGGCTGTCCCTGTGCTCTGATGGGTCGGTGCCTCTGCCCTCTGCTGTCGGAGACGCCCTTGGGCGTCAGTGCTAATCCGTTCTTCACGCATTCCAGCTCCCGACTACACCCTCACACTGACACGGGGCATCCTCAGCAGGGCCTGGTCACGCTGTGTTTTTCATTTCTTGTCTAATCCCCATGACGGTCCACTGTGGGAACTGGTGGGGGCACTGGGGACATCCCTGGCCTGGGGCAGGGGCCAGACTGCAGGCTGGTGTAAATGAGCTAGCACTGCCCATGTGCTCCAGGCTGGCGTGGCCCTTGCCGTCTCTGCCCTGGTGACGTGTCCCTTTTACAGAGAGTGACTAGGAGCCTCCGGGCTCTGCCCAGGGCCTTGGGGCTGGTACAGGGGGGTTCCGAGATCAAAGTCAAGTCTGATCCCTAAACCCCAGTGCTTTCCACCACCTGGGGACTCGGTGGTGACAAGTCAGGTGGGCGCTCTGAGCTGGCTGTCTAGTGCAGGCTCAGGAGCCCACGTGCCGTGTGCAGACAGCAGGGCCATGGCCGGCTCCCTTAGTGAGGGTGCTGTGGGCAGCCGCTCTGGGGGTCCTCGGCTCCTCTCTGGGAGCAGGAGCACTGGGCCAGGAGCACGGATGCTCAGTGTCCCTGAGCCGTGGAGGGGACCACCGGGAACTGCGGTTGAGCGTTGTCCCTGAGCTGAGTTTCTGGTCACTTCCCCAGCCTCAGGGAAGAGTGGCTTGGTGAGCAGAGTCTCCCGTGGCTCCAGCTCCTGCCCTGAGGGCTGTGGTGACCGCAGGTGGTCAGGGGCCTTGTAGGGAAGGCTGACCGGCGCAGGGGGCGCTGTAAGGCCTTCCAGGCATGGGCTGCTACCAGGCTGGCCCTGACAGCCATTCCAGCCCGAGACTCCACGCCGTAGCTGAGGAAGACTCGGCCCCAGTCCATAGCATAGAGGGACAGGGCCAGGTTCAAGGGGGTCCAGCCTTGCCTAGCCCCAAACTGCTGATCTCTTGTGCTGTGCCCAGGGGTGCAAATGTCCTTAGGCAGCATTCCTGGGCTGGAGGAGGAGGGTGGGCAGGCTGTGCACTGCACAACTCCAGGTGCCTAGTGCACCATGGTGGGGCCCAGCAGCCCTGTGGTCTGGTGTGGAAATGGGTCAGCCCCCTCGGGGCTCTGGTGAGGTCCCATTGGGACAGGGGCTGGGGGAGGGCGGGGCTGTGGTTTCAGGCAGAGGAACCAGGAGTGGATGAAGCCAGGGCCGAGGAAGAGAGTTTAGGGGTTCAGGGGTGCGGGACCTGTTTCTGTGTGTCGGTGACCCTGGGCCTGGCCTGAGCTCAGGTCCTGTGCCGTGCACAGCCCTGGGGGCGGTGGGGGAGGAGGATGCTGCCTGCCCAGCCCCGGCCTCGCGGCCTCCTCCCCTGCCCTCCAGTGTTCCCTGATCCTGAGGTCCAGTCATCCGAGAAGGCTCTGCTGGGGCCTCCGAAGCCTCCCCACACCCCTGTGTTTTCCAACCTGCTGGCCGCTCTGCCATGGGGCCACCCGCCTGAGGGAGGCCTGGGGGAGGGCCTGGCAGGACCCCCTGGGGCCACCTCCCCACGGCTATCCTCAGTCCAGCCCTTCAGAGGGTGGCCCCCAGGAAGAGCAGGGGAGTAAGGGAGGGGTGGGGGAGCAGTGCCCTGCGGCCTCTCTCCAGGCGCCGTGCCGGCCTGCTCTGCGCCAGGTGCTGTGTGACCTTGGGGGTGGCTGTCCCTCCCTCAGCTCATCTTCTCTGTCACAGTGAGGCTCGCTCGTCCGTGACCTGGCCTGACTCTGGGCTCCAAGCCCAGGTGGCGCTGTGCTGTGATCTAAAGATGCTGGCTGTTGTGCAGAAGGCCTGAGTTTTCTCTTGAGGACAGCCGTGCCGCCGTGGAGCATGAAGCCCTTTTCCATGTCCCTCCCCCTCTAGTCCACGGACATTTGGTCCAGGCCTCGGTGTCTGAAGACGACGGCCGTGGTGTTGTGGAGAGGCAGAGTGCCCTCCTGTCCCGGGGGGTCTGGAACCCTCCCGCCACGTGTAGTGGGCACACTGCCCTGGAGCGGGGGACTGCAGTTGCAGGCCACGTCCGATCCCAGCAATGCTGCCTGGCCCCCGGGATTCTGAGGCTGTGTGTGACCAGAGTGTGGCTTCCTTCAGCTCGAGGGCAGTGGTTGTGTGCATGGGTCTGTGCAGATGACGTGGGGACAGAGGGACCCGGGCTGGGCCAGCTTGTTTCCCCAGAGGTCCCCCCTCAGAAGGAGGGCCCAGTGCCACAGGGGGTGGGCAGTGACCCTCTAGTGAGGTAGAGGCAGCACTAGTGACACTGGTGCCCCACCTCACCCTGCAGCTGGCGAGGCCTGGGGAGGGCAGGAATGCAGGGAGGACCTCCTGGAGACGGGCAGGGAGGACCTGGGGACAGGCAGGCAGGAGCCGCACGGGGACTGCCACGCGACTGCAGGGTGGCGCCTCGAGGAGGAATCTGAGTGTGTGTCTGGGACTCCAGGGGCCAAGGTGCTCCCCGAGAGAGAGCTGCAGGAGGGAGCAGGTGCATGCCCGCAACCTGGACAGAGGCTGGCCGATCGAAGGCTCTCCGTCCCTAGCGAGTTCTTGGAGACGTGTCGCTGGTTCAGACACAGGTCAGGAAAAGCTGAATTGGAGCAAAGCCCCAAAGCCACCCCCACCCAGCCCATGCAGAGGGGCTCCTCAGGCCGCCCCTCCCAGGCAGAGTGCGGAGCAGTGTGTGTGGCTGGACGGTGATGTCCAGAGGCAGGCAGCGCGAGCTCTCCAGGGTGGGGGCAGCTTGATTTACAAAGCGCAGGAGCAGCAGAGGTGTCCTGTCCTTTCTCCCGCAGCCTGCCCCGTGGGACAGCTGCTCACTCACCCAGCAAGCAATCAAGGGCTGGCCAGTGGAGGCCCCGCCCAGCATGCAGGCTCCACCCCTTCTGCTGTTTCCCAGGGTCCTCTCCAGCAGTGCCCAGTGGGCGGGGGGAGGATGGTTAAGCCCAGCAAGCAGCTCCCTGGAGTCTGCCCCGCGGGCCTCAGCGCTCAGGTGGGCCTCCCTGCTCTGCTGGGCACAGGAGGCGCTGAGCAGCTCTGGTGAGGTTTCCCTCTGAGCATTTCCATCCCTGGGGCTGGCAGGACAGTGGTCACATGGAGTGGCAGGCCTTGGATTCCAGATTGCATGCTGGGGACACATCCCAGGTAGCTCTGGAGGGTGACTCAGGCCTCCCCCGTCCTGAAGGCAGGCCGTTTTCTGTGGCCTTGGCACGGTTGGCTGTGAGGTGTCCTTATCTGAGGGACTCAGGTCCCCAGGTAGGTCCTCCAGCAGGGTGGGCTGGCGTCCCGGCCAGCTTCAGCCATTCCTTGGTGTCCTGTCTTGTCCTAGCCGATGACCAGGAACCAGGAACCAATTTAAGTTCCTGCCCACAGCAGATGTCTCATTTCATCAGCTCTGGAAGGTGCTGGATGCCCGTGCAGGTGCTCAGCAGCCCTTCTTGCAGGGGAGGGCAGGGGCCCAGCATTGCTGGGCTGGGCTCCCTGCAGCCGCCCTTGGGCATGATGCCAGGCTGCCTGTGACCCTCTGTCCTTCCCTACTGGGCAGGGTCCTGTGTGTCAGGCCTTCAGTTGAGTCCAGGACCATGTCCTTGTGCCTCGCACCTCGGGGTCACAGTAGCCCACTGTAGTGCAGGCTGGGGAGCCCAGTGCTGTGTGCTGCCATCCTTCTGGAGGCCACTTCCGTGAAAGGAAGGGGTGGCGGGCCCCAGGGTGACACGGAGCTGGATAACTCCAGGTCTCAGCCCTGGAGGAGCGTAGAGCGGTGGCCGGCTTTTAGGCTGATGGTGGAGGAGCCTGCTGGGGAGGCACGGCCACCTGAGGGCAATCCCGGGGCTGCCCGCTGGCCAGTCCTGAGAGCTGGCTCTGGCACCTCTGCCGCCTGATTTGCCACATTGCCCTTGTTATTTGCTCACTGATGGATTCCCTCCTCTGTCCACCTGCCCATCCTCTGTCCGTGTGTCTCCTCTGTCTGGGCCCCGAGATGGCACTGTGTCCTGCCCTCCTTCACGCTGCCGTCTGTGGTGCTTGGTGCCCGAGCTCACTCCTTGACTCCAGACCTTCCTCATTCGCCCTCTCCTTCCTTACGTCGGCCTCACTGCATCCCTTCTGCTGCAGTCTGGGCGCGCAGCGCCTGCTTACGGCCTCCGTGAGATGTCCCGAGGACGCGGGCACTCCGAGATTGAGTGCTGGCACCGAGTGGAAGCACATGGACAGAGTGTCCAGCTTCCCTGACCCTGGCCCCTGGGGGGCCATGCCTGGGGCTGATCGAGGAGAAACAGAAAGGAGGGGCAAAGGTGCGGAGCCTGAGGTGCTGGGACCCGGGCCACTCTGGCTTGTGCCTGCAGCTTCTCCCACGGGTCCCCAGCCAAGATCCTCCTCACCTGGGGGGTGCTGGCTTCTCACCCACGTGGTCTGTCCCCAGAGCCTGTGTGATTCCAGGTGGGCTCTCAGCCTGACCGAGAAACTGCCCGAGCAGAGGCCCAGGGTGTTGGTGGGAAGCGGGGCCGGAGGAGCCCGTGCTGCCCGACGTGCTTGTTTAAGAGTTGACATTTCGCGTGCTCTGGCACAGGAAGGTGCTGGCCGTGGAGGGTGGCACTGGGCCTGGAGGCCTGGGGGCCTTTTTCCTGTGGCAGCAGATCTGCACCCACGGCCAGGAAGGGGCTGAAGTCGGCTTCCGCCTTAGGCAATGGAGGGAACAGACTCGCAGCCCCAGGTCTGGGAAAAGCATCTCGGCCCAGCTCTGATGTGAGTCCAGGAAGCCCCGCCCGGATCCCTGATCCCTTCGCGGGCCACTGCCAACCTTGGAGTCGAGTGCCGGAGATGACGGGGCCGCCCCGCCTCATCCCCGCAGGTGTGCTGGCGGCTGGCACGGCCATCTCTTCCCACGGCCGGGTCCAGGCCTGGGACTGGGCCACTCGGCCTCGCCAGACACCTGTGCTCAGCCCAACTTCTACTGTCCGGTGGACGAGTGCCCGGTGAGGGCTTTGTTTCCGATGCTGAGTGCCTCAGAGGTGCCACAGATACACGCGGGATCGGCCACACATGTGAATCTGGGTCCTGGGTCGTGGCCGAGGGCCATCCAGGAAAACCAAAGAGGCCGCGAAAGCCAGTGACTTGGAAATAAGTAGCGGTCGCCCTGGACCAAGTGTGCTGGCTGTCCGTGCTGAGCCCCTTCTGCCCCCTAATGGTTCCCTGCATCCCTGGATCAGATGGCAGGACGCAGTGGAGCCGGGCTGCAGAAGTGACATAGATAGGTGGGGGACTCAGGATCCGCAGCCTGGGTAACCGGCTGCCTTCCTGGAAACGGCTTGGAGACGGCTTCAGGACAGAGGGGAGCTCCACGTCCCTCCCATGAGGACCCAGCTGGGTGCTGGCCGTGGGTCTCTGAGTCCCCGGGTGGCGCCCAGCCACACGCTCATTCTGCAGCAGGTTGGAGTTATTTTCTCTGCCTGAACCCCCGGGGCGCCTCGAGCTTCTGGTAACAGGGAGGCCGTCTTTGGTTTGGGGGTATGTTGAGCTCTCCAGAAGCCCTTGGCTTTGCAGGTCCGAGGATCAGCTTCTCGCAGGCCCTCAGGACTCTGCCATCCCTGAGCAGCCCCTGAAGGGTGGTGGGCAGGAACCTTCCAGAAGGAATGTGGGGGGGTCCTGCTCCTCTTCCTGTGTGTGGTCTCTGGGCTGATGGAAGCTGCTGTGGGAGGTGACAGCTGATTGGTCAAGGGGATAAAATTTGCCAATAGCAGTGGAGACTCGGAGGGGTGGGTCCTCTGGGGGTCGCCCAACAAGTTCTTGAGCTGTCAATCACTCCTATTGCATCAAACAGCACCACGAGGGTGGTCCTGGCATGGTGGCTCTTCTGTAGCCCCCAGCTTCTGTCTGGGGACAAACACACCTCCTGTGCCACCATAAGAGAGGGTGTACTGAGAAGAGGCTCCCGAAGCTCTGGCCACATGAGGATTGGGAGTAAGGGCCACTCATGCACAAATGGGGACGGTGGCAGCCGTCAGAGGGGGCAAGCAAGGTATGCTGCTGGTGTGGCTACAAGCTGTAGCAGGCCCCACTGTCCTGAGCTGGGCCCTCAGCGCTGCGGTCGGGTCTGTGGGGGTGCTGCACGGGCAGTCATCAGAGCCCCTCCTACAAGTGCTCCTGAGACACTCCTTCCTCTCTGGCTGACCCCAGTCTCTCTCATTGCAGCTCAGCCAGCAGATCTCCTGAAGGTTCTAGATTTTCACAACTTGCCTGACGGGATAACAAAGACCACAGGTTTCTGCGCCACACGACGATCTTCCAAAGGCCCAGATGTTGCATACCGAGTCTCCAAAGACGCCCAGCTCAGTGCGCCCACCAAGCAGCTGTACCCTGGTAAGAGACGTGCGGCTGGGCGGGGACCCTGTGGACTCAGGCCTCCAGCCGGGAGTCCAGCAGAAGCCCGGTGTCCACAGAGGCCAGCATGGTCTCCTGGAAGCCCAGCTCGTGGACCCAGTTTGATTTCAGGATAGTGAAAGCATTATAGCCAGCCACGAGTGACCGTCACTGTCCACCACCAGAGCTGGGCAGGGAGGCCTCATCTGTGCCCTTTGCTTTCTAAGCAGGTGGGTCTCTAGACAGGCTGCCAGGTCTCCAGTGCACAAAGGAGATGGATGGTCCCGGGGGACGAGGCTAGGAGAAAGCTCGGGGACCCAGGAAGGGAAGCGGCTACCGACAGAAGCTTAATTGGGGACAATGACATTAAGAGATACATGAATCAAACATGGTGACTCCCAGCGAGCGGCCTGAGGCTTTAATGAGAATCCATTGCCAGCGCCAGATCTCTGCTTTTAATTACATACCCTGGGGGGAGCCTCGCTAGCTGTGCCATGCACCCTCCACATTGTCCCTGTCACCAGCGATGGGGCAGTCGTGTCATCCCCTCCCAGGCGAGTTAATTAAGCCCTCCGTCTTATCTGGACAGGTGTAAGTGGCTGGGTGATGGACACCCTCCTCAGGGAGGTGCTGGTGGCCTGGCCTGACTTAGGGGAGAGAGGAATGGCCGTGGCAGATAAAGTCACCTTGTGAGAGGTTTTGTGTTTATTAGGAGACTGTGTTCCATCTCTCTGGTGGCCTGGATGTGACCCCGACATTGAACGGGAGTCGGGGCAGTTTTTCACAGCAGTGGTGACTGTTAACTGCGTGTCCCCACTGCGTCCTTGAAGGACACTCTTGCTGGCTGGGCTTTTCCTTCTTTTGGTGCTTTCTCCTTGTCCCTGTGCCCACAGCTCCCCCAGCCTTCCTCAAATCCATCGTGACTTTAGAGTTTGTCCCTGGGAGTCCGGGCCTTCACCCAGTGGTCATTTAGGATGAGCCTGCTCATCTGGTGGCTCTGCCAAGGTGTGGAGCCTGTGGGGAGCGTGTCCTTAGGAGCCACTCCATGGGCTCACTGTGTCTTTGCCCAGTGCCTGCTGTCCCGCCCCGTGGCCCCAGGCTTAGACGTCCTGACCTGGGAGACTGGGCCCAGGCAGAGGCCAGAGGGGGCTGACGGGGTCCCTGTGACCTGAGCTGTAGGTCGTGCCCCTACCCAGCAGCACAGGGTGACGTTGGCTTTCCGGGGCGAGTTGTGGGGGTGGGGAGGGGCTCCCAGCCTGGCAGATGAGCTTTAGCCAACTTTTGGTTGGTTCATTCTGGGCATTGCCACTAATTCACAGCAAATGGACCATGATTGTGCCTTGGACGCTTTTCCTCACTGGATCATCTCGCAGCGAGGACGATCATAGCCTCAGGAACCAGGCTCAGTCATCAGAGACCAGGAAGGCTTCCTGAGCAGTGGGAAAGGGGTGTTTTTTCCTATGTTCTTGAATTAATAACTTGATCAGACACTTGACAAAAGTGCGCACCCCTAGTAATAGTCAGGTTGTGTGGTCCCCACTAGGGCAGGTGGGATTGAAGGGCGCTTTGGGATGTTCAGGGGGAGTTTCTGTGGATGGAGTCCCTTCTGAAGGTCCCGAGCATTCAGTCCTGGGAGGCATACCATTGGGTTCAGGGGACACCACTGAGGTTTGAGGAACACTGTTCAGTCTTGAGGGACATCACTGACCATCAGTGCAATCCGACTTTGAGGACCTCAGTGGATAGCATGTTCTGGATTCCTGGTCCTTCCTCATGACCTCTGAATAAGCGGCCGTGATCCTGTGCCCTGACCTTGGGACATGCTGGCAGGAACTTGGAAGGTGCATCAGGATTGGAAGCTCTCAAAGTAGAGGTCACATGGCCCTGACGTGGTCTAGTGCCAGCCATTTCGGGTGGTCTCCCAGAGTGCCTCGTGGCTGGGACAGAGGCCCTGCCTGTAGGTGGCTGCACGGGAAGGGCTGGTTACCCTGGTGGCCGCAGCCAGGGCTGGGCCATGGACCCCTGAGTCTGTGTCTGAGAGGCAGAGAAGCCCACTGCTGGGGCTTATTTCCAGCCACCACAGGTCCCCTCAGCAGGCCTGGTGGCTGGTCCTGGGAGCCTGTGGCTGAGCTACGCAGGTACTTACAGCCTGTCGGTGTCCCCCTTGTGGTAGCCCAGACCAGACAGCTGTCCACCTTGCCCAACAGCTGTGCCCCACGCCTGACTCTGGTCCCTGGGGATGCACAGTGACCCGGACGGCCTTGAATTCTACCTTCTTCTGGCTGGGGGCGAGGTCCCAGGCTGACTTCTAGGGAACACCCTCCCTGCGTCGCCAGCGCCTCTAGCAGGCAGCAGGCCAGGGAGCGGCTCTTCTCCCCAGTGCTAGGAGCTCCCTCTCCTGCTTGGGCCACTGATTAGGATCCTGAGGTCTGTTGCACTAGGGCTCAATGCCACGCTGTCGGCTGCTCCTGGCAGTTGGACTGCGCAGTGTCATTGGTGAACTGGCTCAAGGACTAAAGCAGAGCTGGACCCTGCTTTGGGGGGGTTGACAGACCCAAGAGGGGCTGCTGACTCCTGGGAGTCACGGGCCTGTGGTGTTCTGCCTGGCTGTGTCCCCCTTGTGGTAGCCCAGGTAGCCCTGTACTGTAGGAGCTGAGGTTCCTGCTGGATGAGGCTGGCCTGTCCCTGGCTCCCGTATACAGTAGGAGCTGGGGTCCC